GGGGCGTGGGCGGGGACGGCGGGCCGAGGGGGTGTGCGGGGCCAGCTGCGGGGCTGGCGGGAGCGCAGAGGGGCCTGGCGGGCGCTGCGGTGTCACGCAGTGTCCTGGGGCTGCCCCTCCCGGCCTCTGCTGGAGCTGAACGTCTTCCTCGCCCAGAATGGGGACCTGACACTTTCGTTTTGAAAAAGCTAAACGAAGTGACTAGTTAAAGATGGCTTAGCGGGAAGCTTGCAGTTTTCTGCGAGATCTATGCTTCTAACGCCTGTTAGGGCTTTTGGTGCAACGGAGGTATCACTTACAATTTTTTGAAATAGTTAATGTATGAGAATTCGTGCCTTTTTTCATAGACAATTAGATTTGACATTGGGTCTAATTCTCCTGAATAGATTGAGTGCCTGTTTGTAGATTTCTGCCTGCTATGAATATATTTTTCTCTATTCTTGATGATGGTAGGCTGAAAAGAAGAGCTGTGTTTCTTACCAGAGAGAAAAAGTTACTTCAACATGTCAGAAGTTTTCCCTAGTTATAACTCTTTAAGATTAAAAATACAAAATGGAAGCTCATGCAATAAATTTAAGAACAGTAAGCTCTTAATCAGGTGAATTGTTTAATAGAAATATCTTTTTGTGCTGAAGTACTATAGTAATGAGGTAACTTTAGCTGTTAAACTGTTACTTCGCGAGTACATCTCTGAGAAGAGTCATGTAAAATTTCAGACATCTGAATCGGTCTCTAAAATGATAAACTTATAATTGAGGAAAAAGGCATGCCTGTTTATTACAAACAAGGTGATTCAAAGACCTGTATGTTAGATTGTATTGTGACTCCTTGATAATTTTTTAAAAGATTATTTCATGCTTGTCAAATGCTGCTTTGAAGATATTCTTAAACTGTATTTTGTTTTCTTGATACAGCATGAATCATGATAGAAATTTAGCATAGTTCCAAAATGAATATTGGAGTTCCAAGAACTGTTAATTTGAACAGTGTTTGATTGGTACTGGATTATATTTGAATCATAACTTGTTTTGAGTGCTCCCCCAGAAGTTTCTGACAGTATGTTTCTGCCCTGTGAAAACTGAAAGTGTATTTTTGTAACTGTGTCTGAGCTGTAATTTGCCTTGTGCTTTATGTTTTCCTCCCTCATTAGTATAAATAAACCTAGTCTTTAAGTTAAATAAACTGTCAATTAAGACTTCTGTTACCCTTCAGTAACCTTTTTCTGTTTTGCTTTAGCGTTTTACCTGAAGAGATGCTTCAGGCCTATAAATGTGAATGCCAAACCCCAGTATTTCTACTGTTAGATTTTGTTTGTCTTTATAACAGTAGTGGTGCGGGTGGGTGTATCCTCATAATGTGCCATTCTACTGATTTATTAAGGTAATTTAATCACAGTTACTATATAATGTGGTACCAAATTATCTGAACTTGCTGAGGGTTGCTAGCTTGTTCATTTGTGCTACTTTCTGACAAATAATCTAGCATTAAAATGAAACTTAGATGAGCTCTCAGTGAGTTTAATAAGAAATGTGAATCTTCCTACTGGAAAAAAACCTTTCTTACCTGTGATTAGCTATTCCTACTGGGTTGCAGACAGACAACAAACAGGAAGGAGTTTTGGTTAAGTCCCCCAAGGATACCAGATAAAGGTGTAAACTTAAGGGAATTGCTGGAACTTACCCAGAATCCAAAGAAGAGTTAAAGCTTATTTTCACAAAAGAAAAAAAACACAACAAAACATAGCATTAATAGTTAGGTAGTTGTTAGTAGTTTTATTAGAACTGTTTATCCCTAATATTTTATGGATATACACCAGGGAGAAAAAAACAACTTAACTCGAATGCTAAAACTATCAAGTAAAAAAATAAAGAAAAAATTAGTTTTCCTAGCGTGTCTTGGTTAGTATTCCTTTCAGCTTTTATTTTTGCAGTGATTATATATGTTGCTTTCAGGTCACTACTGAAGGCTGTTCTAGTCTGATAGATCTAAACTCTTAATATACTTTCCTGTGCTGTAGTTATATAATGTGCAAAACTCTTAATTATTTTGCTTTTAACAGGTGACTGGTAGAAGACAGAAACCCGTTCCTGACTATGTCGAGGAGAAAGCTGGAGAATAAAAGCCTTTCTGGCTTGCTAGCCACATCTCTGCAGACACAAATCAAGTCGGACAATTTCCACAATTTTTATATTCTTGAATCAAAAGAGCTGGGAAGGTGAGATTATTCCTATTTATTTTATTTTAGTGAGAGGAATTTCTGCTGCAAGAGATTTCTTTGTGCAGTGGTAGACCTTTTCTGGTAAACCTTTACAGTAGTAGGTGGGATATTAAGTGTGCTTTTCTCCTTCCTCTCCTGCTCCCCTCCCTTATTTGCAGTATCCAACGGGTTCTCTAAGGACCAGGAAAAGGTATAGTGAGACATGAATTGTCAGCTTTTTCCATGTTGGAGTGATTTAGCCTGTTTCATAGGCATGTAGATCTGGGATTTGGTTCCTTTTCTTCCATTTCCCCATATGCTCACACATCACATTCCAGGTAGGTAAACTGCAGAAGAGATGACATAGGGTAGTACTGCTAGACAAAGAATGGAGATTTTGAATTGGTTATATGGTAGAGGTTTTTTTGAAGTCCAGAAAACAAAGACCTTCTTTTTTCCCCTCCCACCCTCAAGTCGTTAGTCTAAGTTTCTAACAACATGCTGTTTTAGAGTAGTTTTGCAGTCTACTTCCCCTGTTCATGTTTGCAACAGAAAAAAAGGGAAATAAAAGAAAAAAAACAACCAAACAAACCTTGGTATTTATGATACCGTTTCAGAGATCTGAGTTAATGATTTTTTTAAATTATTGGGTTAATTCATACCTTGAAAATATTCAGGGAATTGGGTATAAAGCCATGCTACCATGATGCCTTGTCATATTTCCAAGCTCTTCAAACAGAAGTGGCATGGATCAGTCTCAAAGTTGGGCCTTGCTGTGCTATGTAGCAAACCTTAGCACCTGTAACTTGCTTTGTCAACAAAAATGCTCTTGTACATCTGATTTTTGTGAGCTCTTTACCCTTCGTAGTTGTCTTGGTTTGTGTTTTGTTTGGTTTTGTGTTTTTTTTCCCCAGCATGTACATTTTCTGGAAGGCTTTTATAGAAGTGCACCTTTCAACCTGTACCTCTCCTCTTTTCTTATACCTTTGTTAACTCTCGTTATGAATGTATAGGGTCTACAAAAGCTGTTCATATGCACCATCCTCTAGAGCTGAGTATTCTAAAGACTCTAGGTTTTCAGATTGTACAAACCTCTGAGATGATGTCTAAAGCGTCATCAAAGTACAGATTTTGTGTGGATTCCAAAACAGCCTTTTTGTAGTATTTTCTGTATGTGAAAAACCAGACGTAACAAAATGAGTGTGAAATTGCAAAGAAACAGAAGCAGAGTAGTATGTCTTCCAAAAGGCTTTTGACTTTTCCTGGCTGAACAGTGGACGTAGCATTTTTTTAAATGTTTTTTAAGTGTTTACAACACTTCGTAGGGGATATAAAATCCATCTTTCTTTGTGGCTTCTCTAAAAGATGTAATATGTTTTTCTTTTTACTTGAGATTTTCTTCTTCCTCTTCCTGTTACTTAGTAAATAGTTCTTTTGTTCTTCCCTTGTTAAGCTTTCCAAGTCCCATTTCTTCCTCCCACGCCTTTATCTTTTACGTCCTTTGGTATTTAAGACTGACTCATGAAGCAGGCAGGTTCTATTTAGTGGGTTAAGTAGCTTTGTCCCCAGTGTGTGGATGTCTTGGCTTCTTTTGAAGTAGTTTTAGAATCATAGAATCATAGAATCGTTAAAGTTGGAAGGGACCTTAAAGATCATGAAGTTCCAATCCTCCTGCCATGAGCAGGGAACCCTGCCACTCGATCAGGTTGCACAAAACCTTGTCCAGCCTGGCCTTAAAAACCTCCAGGGATGGGGCATCAACAGCCTCTCTCGGCAACCCATTCCAGTTCCTCACCACCCTTATAGGGAAGAATTTCTTCCTAATATCTAACCTAAATCTCCCCTCTCTCAGTTTAAAACCATTACCACTTGTCCCATGACTATTTCCTCTGATTAATTTCTGTGGTTTATAACTTGGGATATGAAACCAACTTGAAATCACTTTTTATCTCATAAAACTGGACCACAATAGTTAGGCAGTTGTTTTGCAGGCAACGAGGATTGGGAACCACTGTGCTTGCTTCAGTGCAATGGTTCCGTTCAGACTTTGTTGCATTTCTGGGGAAATTCCACTGCTGTAAAACAACTCTTTATCTTAACAATTTTGTCTTAATAATTGGCATACTAAAAGTACATTATAAACAAGTGGAAATTCTTACACAATCAGTCTGGCGATACCACTGACCCTTCAGAGCTGTTACACCTGCAATCACTAGAAGGAAGATGTGCACAAATATTCAGGAAAAGTCTTGCTGTTCTCATGAAACTCAACCAGTTCCCCTTTTTTAATTTTAGAGAAACTTTTGTGGTTGATGGGCTGATGTGTTGTTAAAACAAGAATGTAAGCTGTGGGGGGATTATCTTAAACTTTAATATATTATGAAACTCAGTTCAGTAACTTCAAATTCTCTGCAGTAATAAGCAGGTTTAATGATTGGGAAAGGACATGTTTGGTTCAGATTTAGAAGTAGCTGCTGAAATGAAGAATGTGTATATATTGGATTGTAAATAACTTTCACCTTTTCTTTTTTGTTTTGAGTTTTCTACTCTTTCTACATTTTGTGTTTTTAAAAAAGATAGGGAAATCCTAGAACTAATTTGATGTTGAAGTAAATTATGTCAGAGAAGCTATTTTATTAAATATACTTCTAAATAAACAATAGCAGTATGATTAAAGGTCAGCTTTACACATCTTATGATTTGGTCAGATTTGTACAAACTGTATTTAGCAAGGTTATTTGCAAATGGAAAGTGATTTTTCGTGATGTTCATACCTTTTTTGATTAAATACTGAAGTCAAGATTTTTCAAAATAGCCTTGGATGTTAATTTATTATTTTTTTTTTAAGAGATGTTCTTTTTAGGCATTGGGTTTTTTGCACCAGAAGAAAGGCAAAGTCTGCTGGGAACCATAGCCTTTTCTACTAAAGAAGCTAATTTAGTTGAGAAAGTGCAGGTCAGATAGCTGGTGCTGAGCTGCTTCATCAAGTTTGTTAGTGTGCTGTGGGAACCAAAAATATGCCTGGAAAGGCGTTTTTCAAAGACATAAGCATAGATCTTGTTCTTAGTACACAGTTTTATAACTGTTTTTAGAACTTTGCTAAGTTTATTTTAGCTCTTAAAACTTTTCTTTTTTTTAAAACTGTTTCTTGTATCATTTGAGAACACTTTGCAAGTATGCAACTAGGCATTTCTGGGAATGCAAAACTTGTGATTATAAAACTTTGTTTTTGCAGGAGTTTACAACTTGGCTTAAAAAACTGCATTTTTTCCTCTTAATTTTTTTAAAGGTCAACTTGATGTTTTGTGTGGTTTTCTTTTAAAAACAGTTCTTCGCCAAAATACATTTTTTTTTCCGTACCTAAACAGATGGCTAGGAAATAAAGCAGCACATTTCATCTAACTGCAGTTAAGAAAGAGAACACTAAGTAGTGGGTGGGGTTTTTTTTTGTTAAGATGTTTTTAAACATTTTGCAGATAATTAGGGGTGTTTTTTTGGCAGTGCTAGATGAATTATGGAGGGAAGTTTTTTTTATTATTTTAAAAGTTCCTGCACTCAAGACTTCCCCCCACCTCAGCATACAAATAAGCTTTATTTTCTCTGTTCTCTACATTTCACAGGGTTTTACTTTGTTTATTACTGTATACTGTAGGTGCTGTAATGTGGTTGAGGGATTTTTTGGTTTGTTTCCAATTATTTACCATGCCTTTTTATTTCTTATGTCAATTTACATACATTTTCTATCTTAGATCTTAAATGTTTTCTCTTTTTATTTGTAGAGGAAGATGTGCTGTGGTTAGAAAGTGTACAGCTAAATCCACAGGCCAAGAGTACGCAGCTAAATTTTTAAAGAAAAGAAGAAGAGGCCAAGACTGCAAAGCAGAGATTCTGCATGAAATTGCTGTGCTTGAGTTAATGAAATCTAATCCTCACATAGTTAATCTTCATGAAGTCTATGAAACAGCAAATGAAATAATTTTAGTGTTGGAATAGTAAGTATGCCTTCATCAGCTTTTCCATGTTTGTAGTTACAAATCTGTTAGTATATTTAGTTTTTGCATGGTGTGCTTGAACACCCAGAAGAATTACATATCCATTATGCTAATATTTTATTATTATGTACTTTATAAGCTCTTAGGGACTTTTTTGGTATTGTTTATTTTCATGTCAATGCAAGAGTTGAATCACTTGCTTTTAATTTTTAATCTTTGGGTTTGTACATGTGTTTTCTTACATTCACAGTAAATGAGTTGTGTGAAACTATGTGGTATAAGGCATAAAACAAAATACACCAAAGCCTGTAGTACTTCCGTACTCAAATTGAAAAGAAATGGACTGAATATATTTTTTTGTCAGCTCTCAAATGCTATCAAAAAATAGTAAGATTAATCTTTCTTCTTGCTGTATAACTCAGTTTTGTAGACACTTTCACTCAAGTTAAAATTGAAATATTTTTTTGTGCCTTGAAATACTGTCTCAGGAGGCTAATTTTTATTAGAACTTGCCTCTTCAATTTGAGGAGACAGTTTCTTCTGCTAGTTGGATTTTTGTAAAAAAGCTCTGATCAATTTTCAGGTCAGGCTAATCTAATGTAAAACCTGAATACAAACTTTAGCATGTTATTTTTTGTTATTGAAGGATCTTTGTCCTTGATGAAGGACAAATGTCCTGGAATCCCATAGAAAGTGCCCAGTGCTTTGATGCATCTCAAACCATTAAAAAAAAATAGCCACTGATGCCAGCTACACAGAGAAGCTGAAATCACATCCGTGTTCTGTGAACTTCAGTCACTGTTTGACACTTCTTGATGACTGAAAACTTGCAGTTCATTTGTGGGTTCTGAGTTTTTCTAAATGTAGTTTTTTTGTTGTTTCAAAAGTGGCTTCTGGAGCGGTTTCCTCCAAAATTCCCATGTCTTTTTAGATGCCCTTTGGCTTCTTGTAAGCTCTGAAAATAAGTCTACTTTGGGAATCTAATTTGAATTACCTGTCATATTTGATGTATGTGTGTTTGTTTGCAATGTAAGTAACAAAAATGCAGTTTGTGAAATTGAGAAAGTATTTTGTTTTAAGTAGGATTTAATTTTAATGTACAAAGTATTCAAAGAGCTTTTAACGGTGGACTGCATACACCATGATAAATTACTTCAAATTTTCCAAAGACGCTAGCTAGATTATCTTGAAGATTTTCCTCAAACTGGATGACCCCTAACATATGATTTGTTGTTCTGATAAGACTAGAATAGTAAATAATGTAGAAAGACAAAGTCCAGATGACAAGTTTTCAACTTTTTGTCAAGAACAAATTCACACAAAAGCCATACCAACATTCCTGCTTCTGTTACAGCTCAGCTAACTCTACCTTGCTTATTAAAGCTCTGTACTGGAAAAAAAATCCTTATACTACATTGATGTTAATGGTCTGCTTTGTAGTAGCTTTCAGAAATCTTGTAGTAAGTGTTTCTAATTCTATTGGGACATGCAGAGGGCTGATTGTGCTTCTAAATTATGTCCTTCGGTAGCAGAATACACAGATATTTTTTTTCATGTCTCTGAGGCAGTACTCAAAGAATTGCAAGAAATTAGTCTCTTACTCATAAAATAGTTGATAAGGATTTCCTGTTAGCTGTATTTTTCCTCCTACATGTGGTCTTTGCTATTGGATTATATTGGGGGGATTCTTTAGAAGTCAGAGTCATAAGAATCAGTTTCTGTAAACACACAATTTCTAAATGGAGAAATGGATGCTAGTTCCTAAGGCCATCTTTGCAGAGGGAATTACTGAAGTCTTGACTACATCTTCAAAAGCCCCACAGCAAAGGTTGTTGCTCTTCTAATCTACAGGGCAAAGGTGATTGGAGGAATTCAGTTATTTGGAGATAAACCTGGCAGCTGTACTAATTAATTTTACAGCTATACGAGAGAGCTGTCCTAATTTTCAAATCCATCTAGTTTTGTTCACTGAAGAACTAAGATAGGCCTGACAGAATCAGATCAGTGGTCTGTCTAATCTACTGCTGTTATCAGCAGTGGTTGTAGGGAGATGCTATTTAGGAAGAGCTAAGGAGTGTATGAGCCTGTCCACTTTTTGCTCTCTGTTCTTTTTGCACTGTCTTGGCAACCAGAGGTTTTGTACTGAGGATACTTCTCTGCCTGTTCCTTTTAGTATGTGTTTATGGACCTGTAGTCTGTGAATCTGTTTTGTCCTTTTCTGAACCTGGTGATGCCATCTACTTTGGTGGCAATAGATTCCAGATGTTCATGGCCTACTGTGTGAAGAAATCTTTTCTTCTATCTGTAGTGAAATAATCAGCCAGTTTCATCAGGTAGCTTCCTAGTTTTCATATTGTGGGATTTGGTGAATAATTGTTCTTAGTTTTTCTTTAAACTAGCTTTAGTGTTTTTGTGAGCCTCATCCATTGACTCTGCCACAATCTTCTTCAAAATTTTCTGAGCTGTACCTGCCAGTTAAAAGTTTGGCATTGTGTAGGTTCTGCTAGGTTATTTTCCTGAAGATATCTTACATATATGTATGCTACAAGTCTTCTGGTGCTACTTTACTCCCTTTCTGAACTTCACCACTTGTAGAAGGCTGAATAATTTCAAACTCAGCACAAAAGGAAACAGCTGACACTGTGGCAAAATGTAGAAGTATAACTAATAAACCACAAACAGCACAGTTACTTGCATGCTGTCTTTATGCTGTACTAATAGTGGATTTTTCTGTAAGCAAACAATGGCCTTTTACTGATGAGAACATATTGGAGATCTGGTGTAAAAACGTGAAGCTTGTCATTCTCACCTTTGTTATTAGTGTAGAAATGGTAGATTTTAAAGTAGCAGAGCTGAATCCTTGTATTTCTGAATATTCTGTGTCTACTAGAGTTCTGGAAGATACAATTTGCTAACTGACTAGACAACTGTATATTTCAGCAGCAGCAGCATGATAGATTTTATTCTTTCTGATATAAATACCTGATTTTTAGTCTTCCATCAGAATGGCATGGGGTAGCTTGAATGCATTTTCCTTCCTCTCTGGAAATACAGAAATACTCTTCAGTAACTCTAGCTGTTGATTGCATTGTAGTTCTTAAATTTACACCACAGTCACATCATGTACTACAAAAAAAATAAAAATAATTACTGCCAAATTCAGAGAACTGGAAAACAGCTGGGATTTCTTGCTTTGAGTTATTTCTGGAACTAGTCTAATGGAAGCAATTTTAGATTTAACTTGAAGAGAAAGACTGCTTCTCTTAGGGAATGACGATAGAACTCATCTTCCTGAAGGTATCTTCACACTCACAGGAAGCATGCTTGAGGGTACCAAAGCATTTTCTGCCACAGAGTTCTGTTTCAGTGTCTAAACTGCTGTTGCTAGCTAGGAGGAAAGAAAAAGCATAATCACATTCTTTTTAAATTTTTTTAAGTGCTTATATGATGTGTCTTGGCATAAGCTTAAAAAAAAAAGAAAAAGAAAAAAACACAATATTCCTAACATCTTTGAGAATATGAATATGATAATTGAACATCTATTCTATAAATAGGTACTATATATTATATTTTTCCTCACTTAAACTTGCAAATTCAAATTTAATACATAAGCTTTCTTGACTGTGTTTCAGTGCTGCTGGAGGAGAAATATTTGACTTGTGTGTCTCAGATCTGGATGGCAGAATTGGTGAAAGGGATATCGTAAGACTTATAAGACAAATACTTGAAGGACTTCGCTGCTTGCATGAAAACAATATTGTTCATCTTGATTTAAAGGTGAGGCTGACAGCAGACTTTATTTTAGTACTTTATCTTCAATTTAATATTATGATAATCAAAGTGATTTATTAAGTACATAACAAAAAAAGGAGGAGAAAAATGAGTATATTTAAGATGAAATAGTTTTTAGAACCAAAATTAAGCCATAACTATTACAGAATAGAAATGTTATTTAGTACACTGGAGGGTTCTGCAGCTAATGTTTTGTTAATTGAGAATTAAATCTTTTCTAGCCTCAAAATATTTTACTGAGCAGCGTCAATCCCCTTGGTGATGTAAAAATTGTGGATTTTGGAATGTCTCGGAAGCTGGAGAGTTCCAGTGAACTGCGGCAGATAATGGGAACAACGGAGTATCTAGGTATGGAAGAGTTGCCTCACACTTGTGATGTGTGGTTTTGAGAAAACAAACAATTCGTGTAACATGCTTATCAACTTAACATTTATTACTAGAGAAAGGACACCAGGACCAGGGCATGTTTAGAGATTTTCTTTTTTTAGAGTATTCAATATTTCCACCAGAAATATCCCAAAATTATATCACTAAGTGCACTTCTAATTTAATGCTATAGTATTTGCCATGGTGCAGACTGTCTAACAGCCAGAATGTCTTGTTGATTTAATTATTTTGATTAGAGTTGAAATGCAACACTCACTAGCATGCACAAAGAAATGTTCTTTGAATTAGGAATGCCATTTAATGTGATGATTTCATGAGATTAAAATATTCCTTGGAAAGGGAAAGATTGCTGTTAACACTGGACAAGTTTCCTTCATGATCTGTCTGCAGTCAATTTTAAGAGCACTTTAATCTGTAGTGAGCAACTTGATACCTATCACACACTAACAGCCACTGTCCGTAAATTTGGCTTGGTTATCTGGCTTTGCAGTGTTAACATGCGGAAAGCTTTATGCATTTCCCTTAAAAAGCTATATACTTGAAAGCCTCTTAGAATAAATTTTTATGTGCATGCATCTGATTAGAAAATTCCTTGGGACTTGAATTCCAGATTTTAGGCAATATAGTACTATTTTATTGTAAACCAATTAAGTGTTGGTGGGTCTAATCAAACAGAAATAAGTTTGTTCCCACCATTGTGGCTTGAAAATAATAAACCTGATCATTGAAGCTGCATACTTAGGTTGGCCAAAAAATGCCAGAAATGTCGTGTATGATTCCATGCCACTTAGAAAAACACTTCAATAAATAATTATTTTTCTCTTTTCTAGCTCCAGAGATCTTAAACTATGATCCTATAACCACAGCTACAGATATGTGGTAGGTTGTATGTGCTAATTCATTTTATTGAGGTAGGCGTGACCACTTGATTTAGGGTCTAGATCCGGATTCTGGCACAGTTTATCCGGCTTCCAAGAACAGACTCCTGTTGGTGGGCAGATCAAAAAAGGGAGAGTTGGGAGGGGACAGAGCCCTCAGGATATAACCTGGGGCTTATAGGACTTACTGTATATGGATCTGTTGCACACTTAGTAGGGAATGCAGGTGGCTTCTAAACCTGTATAGTAAAGGTATTTGTTCTGAGGGAACTGTATCAAAGATTCGATAATATACTTTAGGTAAATCATATGATGTGTAATACTCATATTCATGCTCAGGGAAAAAATGTCAACGAGGGAATATTGAACACAAATGTCGATTGTACAGAAAGGGTGACTAAATCTCAATCTTTGACACTTCATCCAAAATTGTAGTGAAATATGTTTTTTTTATTTACATGCAAATTAGAAAGTCTATCTTTTTGCTGTTCTGTCATCCGGAATTGCCATATATCTAAGAATGGGCTGTGTAAATGCAATCTATTTACTTTTCTTAACAGCCTCAATGGGAAGAAAGGGTATATTGAAAGTAAATGATTTTTGAAGATTCCCTTAATGAAGACAGATACATGGCTTTTCTTGTGTGTGACTGTGCATGTGTGCTTATGTGCATATGATCACATAAAAGTGCGAAGTTACAGGATGTTTCTAATTCTTTGAGTGTGGTGTACATCAGGAAATTTCATCTGCAGCACAATAAATATGTGGGTTATATTGTTTAGATAGCCTAGTAGGATTACATATTGTGTTCTTATCTCAGGAACCTGGGTGTAATTTCATACATGCTGCTGACACAAGAATCTCCATTTGTGGGAGCTGATAATCAAGAAACTTACCTTAATATATCTCAAGTTAACGTGGATTACTCAGAAGAAACATTTTCATCGGTTTCACAGCCTGCCAAAGACTTCATTCAAAAACTTCTCATCAAAAATCCAGAGTAAGTGACAAACTTCTCCAAACAAGAATCTTAACTGATATGTTTGTGGAGCACCTAAAAAAAGTTAATGTTACCTTGGGAGATTTATGCCATTGATACAATCAGTCAGACATTTCACAATGCATTGGTATTATCGGCTGGATATTTAAGAGTGTAGGTTTATGCTTTTCCATAACGTATGAATAGGATCACTCTCATTGGTTCACTCTCTGGTTATTACTATATTCAGTCTTTTGCTTTGAGTTTTGTTATATTTTTTGTTTCTTCGTATTTTCATTCAGAGGACAGAGTATTAGCAAGTTTGATGAAATATAGAAAGGTGATATTCTTGTCTGTAATTTAACCTTTTATTGGATGATTTGGAGAGACAAAATGCAGTATTTTTTATGCAGTGCTTTCTTGTTTCCTGACTTATATTTATTATATATTTTTCTATGTTAAATAATTTTTATATAAAAACTTGGCAGTCTTAAGACTGAACATATATTCTTCAGAAATATACAGTGTTTTGTCATGTTCAGTCTTTTTGATCTCAATCAAAAGTAGAAACTTCTTTTTGTTTGTAAGGCACTTTTCCATAACTTGACATTCTTTGGAAGTTCAGACTCTAACCAAGGCCTTTCAGACTAGCTGAACTTTGAGAGCATAGTCTGAGAGTGGGAGAATTGTAGACATTAACTGTGTCTGTGCTTGCTGTATAGCATTAACTCTGGGTATTTTTTTTAACTGTTGCACCAGCAAATGCACTAAAACAAACCAAAACACAGTTAAGAAAAGCACCCTAAAAAGTATATATGGGAAAATAATATTTAGTAGTCAGTCATTATCAATTATAGTGCTACTTTTAATTTGTGATGAGTCCCTGTCTTCCTCATCCTGCAGCAAGCAGGAGTGAACCTGTTGTTTGATCAAGAAAGGTTCTTTAATAAGAGCGGACGATGGGAGGTTATATCCATGAACCTGCCTACTTTGATGAAATAAGGTGTCACAGTTTGACTTAGGATCGGCAGTGAAACCAGTGACAACCCTGCCCCTGTCATCTACACCGAGCTTGCATAGATACATGGAATGGAATACTTTGGTCAGTTTTGCTGTCCATCTAGTCCACTTCTCCCTACGAGAGGGTTACAGATACAGCTCTTCTGCTTTGGTAGCATCTGAGGCTGCAGATTCACTAAGTAGAGCAAAGTGACCTTAAAGTCCCAGCAGTAACATAAACATTCAGGTGTTATCAGCCCACCATGGAAAACTTGCTGCTAGTTAAAAGAGAGCTTACTGAAGAAAAAAAAAAAAATCAGTAAAAGGAAAATTTGCTTCATACTGGCTCAAACCAGGACACAAGGTCTTGATATAAATTCATGTCTGGACGGGACCAAGTATCAACAGTCCTTTCTATTTTGACATTTCATGTAGATGGTTTGTCAAGATCTGGAATAAATCACAAGAAGTGTGGTATCATGAGGGAAGCAATTACCAAGAACCTGCTTTGAGCAGTATCAGTGTGGACCTGTGGGATGTTTGACATTCTGTCACAGTTACTATTCTGCTTACGTTTTTTGCTGGTGGGCATCTCAGTCTTTATTATATCCTCAGTAACTTATTTTTTTTTGTTTTCTCCCCATTCCAATTCTTGGTTGCTATACCTTCTTGAATTTTATAAGGAAACATCTGTCCTTAGATACTCTCTAAACTCAGGACTCTGTCAAGTTACAGGTATTAATGCTTTGGTGTCAACTCTGATACTGAAAGATGTCTTTGCATGTGCCAGAACTACATTGATTACATTTTCAGTATTTTTGCAATTAACTTAAGCACCTTTACCCTTTTCTCTTTCAAAGGGAAAGACCCACAGCAGAGGCCTGTCTTTCTCATTTGTGGTTGCAGCAAGGGGAGTTCATACTCCTGTGTAGCCCTGAAGAAACTTGTTGCTCTTCTCTGATGCCTGGACACATAACAAAATGCTCAGAGGAGCGAAATGCAAAATCAAGTTGTAATGGTACTTGCAGCAAGAAGGAAGACAAAGAAAACATTCCAGAGGACAGCAGTACAGTCTCCAAACGCTTCCGATTTGATGATTCATTGCAGTATCCCCAAGACTTCATGACAGACTTCGTATGTTAATGGGTAACACAGACTTTTATAAAATGAATTTAGCATAACCTATTCCAGTGGCGAATATAAGATTATGGCTCGCCAATTTGTGCAGCACTGCAGCACTGGCATACTGGAAATGCACTTTGATTCTTTTATGCTGGTGCTTCCTTTGCTGTCCGTTGCTGGCAATGGATTTAACTCCTGAGAAATTGGGATTGTTGCACCAATAAAATGAAGTGGTTGTTTTTTTTTATTTTTATAGAAGATAAAATTAAATATTTTTGCACTTTTCAAGTTTTAGTTTAAAAATTATGCCAAAATGAATTAATTAATACCTGAAAATTAGTTTCTTTAAACTCAGGTATCCTGGTTAAGTGATCATTCCTTATTCCATACCATTTCCTATTGTACTAATGCACCAGGTTACAGACTGGTCTTATACAATAGTTTGATGAGTCCAGGCTCTGGATCTTTATCCATCATGTTGGTTTCTCAGAGCAGAGGAGATGGTACAGGTTTCATTGGGGTTCATGCCCTCATTGTGACTTCCTCCTGGATGCCACTATGTGATCCTAGGGACAGACATTGAAAACAACTGATCACCATTATTCAATAATGAAAACTATGCAACCCAAACTAAATGGTCTCAGCCAGAGTTAAGCTCCCCTTTGGTACATGGTGGACTTCACCATCCTCCTGCATTACCCACCAAATATGTCCAGGACCTTGAGTAGAGACAACCCCATGCATGGCTTGGCCTCTGTCCAAAGCAGGATAGACCCAGAGAGTTTTTCCTAGTAGATACCTTTCACATACAACAGGGACTTTATCCCATTCTATTGTATGTAAAAGGTCTGATAGGGCAGGCAGCTTGACTGATAGATTCCCTGGTGTTAACTAGTCAGGTGGCTTCTGCCAAATGCTTATACCAAATTTTTTTCTTGCATGGTGGTTTTCATCAGACCATTGTAGTGTTAAATTTTTCCAGATGCTGGTGCATGACAGGGGATATGATATATCCACTCAATACCATGCTCTTTGGCCCAGTTGTCTATTAGGTTGTTTCTGAAATCAGTCCAGTTTTCTCACTGGATTTCATGAAGTCTGCTAGATCCATCTGCCTTGCCAAGGACTCAATATACATCAGGATAGCAACTTTCACCTCCCAGCTGTTCAGACAGGGTCTGGTCCCTTCTGTCCTGCACAGCCACGTTTTCCTTCTGCCAAAACCAGGGTGAAGAGGAGTCTTCACTGTCTGAACTCTACTCTGATGCATTCCAGTGTGCCTGAAGCCCAAGTCTGTCGTGTGAGATAAGGTGCCAGCAGGTTGGAAATCAGCCAACATAACCCCCATATATGGCGAGGGATGGAAGGATGATCTGGGAAATTACAGGCCTGTTAGTTTGACTTTGGTACTGGGGAAGCTGATGAAGCAGATTATCCTGAGTACCATTGTGCAGTACATAGAGGACAACCAAGTGATGAGGCTCAGTCAGCATGGGCTCATGAAGGGCAGGTTCTGTTTGACTAATCTGATCTCTTACAGGAGAAGGGAATGGCTGTGGATGTTGTTTACCTTGACTTCCATAGAATCATAGAATGGTTTGGATTGGAAGGCATCTAAAAGATCATCTAGTTCCAACCCCCCTGCATAGGCAGGGACACATCCTGCTACATCAGGTTGCTTAAGGCCCCATCCAGTCTGGTTTTGAAGACCTCCAGGGAGGGGGCATCCACAGCCTCCCTGGGCAACCTGTTCCAGCATGTCACCACCCTCACAGGAAAGAAATTTTTCCTAATGTCCATCCTGAATCTCCCCTCTTTCAGCTTCATTGCCCCTTGTCCTCTCACTATACACCTGTGTAAAAAGCCCTACCCCCGCTTTCTTGTAGGCCCCCTGAAGATAGTAGAAAGTCGATATAAGGTCACCACAGAGCCTTATCGAGGCTGAACAACTCCAACTTCCTCAGCCTGTCTTCATAGGGGAGGTGCTGCAGCCCTCTGATCATCTTTGTGGCTCTTCTCTGGTCATGGTCGAGGACTTCAGCAAAGCCTTTGACACAATTTCCCACTGCATGCTCCTAGAGAAGCTGGCTGCTTGTGGCTTGGATGTGCACATGCTTTGCTGGATAAAAAACTGGTTCGATGGCCGGGTCCAAAGAGTTGTGTTCAGTGGTGTTAAATACAGTTAAAGCCAGTCATGAGTGGTGTTCCCAAGGGCTCAGTGCTGGGCTGCTTCTGTTTAACATGTCTATGGATGATTTGGATGAGAGGATAGAGTACAGCCTCAGCAAGTTTGCAGATGACACAAAGTTGGATAGGAGTGTTGATCTGCTTGAGGGTCGGGAGGCTCTGCAGAGGGATCCAGACAGGCTTGATCTGGCCAGGGCGAATAGCATGAGTTTCAATAAGGCTAAATGTTAGGTCCTGCACTTTGGCCATAACAACCTCTGGTAGTGTTTTAGGCTTGGGGAGGAGTGGCTGGAAAGCTGCCCAGCAGAGAGGGACCTGGGGGTGCTGACGGACAGCTGGCTGAACATGAGCCAGTAGTGTGTCCAAGGTGGCCAAGGCAGCCAACACCACCCTTGCCTGCATCAGGAATAGTGTGACCAGCAGGACCAAGGAGGTGTTCCTGCACCTATACTCAGCCTTGGTGAGGCTGCACCTCAAGTACTGTGTGTAGTTTTGGGCACTGCAGTACAGGAAGCTCACTGAGGTGCTGGAGAGGGTGCAGAGAAGGGCGACTAGGCTGATTAGGGGTCTGGAAAACAGATCTTGTGAGGAGGGGCAAACCATGCCCGCAGAACCTTGCCTGGTCTGGTCCTGGTCCCTTCCTTTACTGAGGTAGTCCCGCCAGTTCACTTCTTGGACCCCCACCATCAGTGGCCGGATTTCAGTGTTGTACAGGCTTTCTGCCTCTTTGACCAGGTGCTGCCCGTTTTTCCACAGCTGCTGGACCTGGCTCTTCACCTTGTGGTCAGAATCCTGCAGGAAGGTGGCCAGTTTCCTGCTGCACAGGCTTGCACCAGCCTTCTTCCTCATGGGAGGAGCCATGGTGGTGGGGCTGACAGCGGGACTGGGGGGTGGGAGCAGTACCAGATCTGTCATGGCTGGCACGGGGAGTGCCACCACCTGCCATATGTTCAAATCCAACTGCCCAGTAACAGCTGTTAATGGCAGCAGAAGTCTTTAGGTTGGGGAGTTCTTTGTGGACCAGCTTGTACTTTGCATGCCCATTTTTAAATCTTTTTCCAAATAGAAATTCAAATTATGTGGCTTTCTCCTGTAAAGAAGTGTCTATGCAATCTCATACAATTTTATTTAAACCATCTGTGTTAATATTGCTTATAGTTTCTTTGAATATGTTACCTTGATCACCATCCAGAAGACCTCACAATAATCTTATCATTGCCAGCATCTCTGGCTAGTGATCCAAATTGCCAAGCCTCCCTGCCCTCCAGATCTATCCCATCATCTCCCAGGTCCCAGCACCACAGTAGCCATGAAATCAGTGAGTCATCCTCATTAGGAGCATAATCCTTCCTTATATCCCATAACTCTTTCATGGACATGGATTTAACGATTTATCTCAGGGTACAAATAATTCTTGTGTGTTGTTCCTGCCTCAAGATGACTCTTTAGCTAGCGCCTGCCCCTCCCCCTGTCTCAGAGCCCTCATTCCTCACCGGATGGTCTGACTTTGTAAAATGCTTTCTGTGGGTTGTTGCTGGGTGACAAGGGCTGGTTGGGACTGAGGGGGGCTGGTGTGGCTCACTGCCACAGCTCCCGCTGGTGCCAGAGCAGTGCCAGGGGCGGTGGTTTCCCATGCTGCCAGCACGAGGCTGCTGCTGCTTGTTGCAGTTTTCCTGTGCCAGTTTTTACCTAGGAACCACCCCTGGCACACATTCAGGCACAGCAATAATACAATCAAAAAGTAATAGCTGTTCCTGGGACCTCCAAACTCTGGCACTGTGAACTTGCCAGAGAAAGGAGCAGAATAATTTTTCACACCAGAAGTCATAAAGTAGCCCTTGAACTGCCCAAGCCAATCCTCAGCCCAACCTCCCAGCAGATCTTGGTGATGGCTAGAATAGGTGGGTGGGAGTCCCTTGCAGCAGGGCTGCTTCCAGGGCTCCTCATAGCACCTGATGGAGTTGAATTCTGGAGAGCACATGGCGTGTTGAAGAACCTCTGAGCAGCAGCAAGAAAAGAAAGGCACAGGAAAAGGGGCTGGTTCTGCTGGCTTTTATAGAGTTTGGCAGGAGGGAATACTGAGCCCTCTGTTCCAACCCTTACAGGTCCTAAAGACCCCCTCTTTAATTCCTCTTGTAGGTGTCAACAAACTGCTGGGCCACTTGAAACCATAACATCAGGCTTTGCCAAGCAGTGGTTGACTATGTGCACGTTTTTATAACTAGCCTTAATAAGAAATTGGTCTAAGCAGGGAAGATGAATCTAGCTGCCTTACAGAGTTTATTTGTGACTGTTATCATTGCTTTACATTGAAGCTAAAGCTGGTTTGGTTTGAAAATATGAGATATAAGTTGGGGCCATTTGAAAAACCGCTTTCTCTCTAAGATCATTAGTAGTTAAGGAAGTGTTCCTACCTTATTAATCTGGTCCACCTAGTGATTATAACACATACTCTGTTTTTCCTGTGTTGGATCTCTGGAATGCTTGAACAGAAAACGGGTAAACTGTTGGTCCTTGCATTAGTGCTGCTTTGCTTCTTATCAGTAGGTTATATTTGAAGACGATGAGGGCCCCATGCTGATGTGAATATTTGATACACTTGTTAGTTTGCTTTATTAAACCTTTGAAATAGTATCATCTTCCTGTATTGACTTGTTCCTAATATGAAAAAAACCTGCAGAACAAAAAGCCTCTTTAGAGTTAAAAGTAATCACTTTTTGCCAGGGAAGCTGCAATTAAAAGTTTCTAATGTAGAAGTGCAGTGCATCTTTCTGTGAGTTATTGTTATCAGTAATAACTAGCTTTGTGCCCGCTCAGAGAAATGGACTGCAGTGTGGTAGTATTTAAAGGCAAACTATCTAATAAATATTTAGGCCTTTAAATTTGGTTTGTTAGGTGAGTTCACTATGTTTTAAA